TATACGTATATTTTAACAAAATAATCAAAGAGGAAAAAAAAATCAAAGTGTAAACCTATTACTGTATAAATATAGTTGTTTAGAAAAGTTTTGCCGTCTACAATTTAATTTAAAGTTTTGGAAAACTTGTTTGGAAAATTCCTTTTAGATTTAAAACCATTTTGCTCATTTAGCCATTCATATGCTGACTCGACATTGCATTTTCTTTACAATTAAAATATGTGCATACTAAATTTGTTCAGTGTATCGACTTGCTTTTTATTATATAAATGATTTACTATGTTATTGATTGTTTGCTATCATTATTTCTGTTTAATTGAAAATATGCTGTTGGAATCTTTTTTGTATTTGTGTTTAATAATTTTAAATTGCTTAGTGTTTTCTCATTTTGAATACAATTAACAATTTAACATTTTTTTTTGTTTCGCTTTACTTTTTTTTTATGTATCTTATTTCAAAAATTGTTGTAGCTAATTAAAAACACAATTCATTTAACCGTTCATTAAATTTAAAGCAACACAATGATATTTTGTTTAATCACTAATTTAATTCTGTTTATCTTTCGTTTTCGCTTGCTTGTAATATGTCTACTCATTTAAGGGTTATAAAAACATAATTTACAATTTTATTTAAATATATATAAATATTTTTATATATATTGGTATTAGTATTAATATGTTAAAAACTCACGCAGTGCCAGAAATATTGAAACAATTTTCTAGGGTACACACAAAATTCGCGTGCTTTGAAAATAATTCAATTTTGATTTGTTTCACAACGAGCAATAAATTGTGGGACATGAATACAAAATAATCGTTTTATTGCTTGCTGAAAATCTCATACTTAGATGTAGTTTACAATAATTTAACAACAATTTGTGTATAGTAAGTACAATGTGTGGAATGTGTGGGTTGGAAAACGTAAAGTTTCTAATACTTAACAAAAACAGAAAGAAATATTGCCAGTAAACGATGCACGATGACGATTTTTGTGTAAACTTTATATAATAATACAGAAAATACATAAATTATCATTTGCTTAGAAATATATATATATATATTTATTTATATTTATATTTTATATATATATATATTTTTGTATATTTTTTTTAGAGCGATTCAACATTTGTTCCTGTCATCGAATTTTGATAATCAATTTTATTTGCTTTTGATAATTTTTGCCAGTTCGATTAGGTCTAGACTTTAATGCATTTACTGCTTACACACATATTCAATTTATCATTATCAATTTGTTGTTGTTGCTTTTAAAAACCGTTCTGCTTACTAACACTAACACACACACATACATTTTACATAATAATTACGCGCTTAATTATAATCGATTGATTTTCCTTTTCTTTTGTTAGTAGTTTATCTATCTGATTTTTTTTTTTTTTTATTTATTTATTTTTCGTTTTTTGTTAATTTGTAGTAAAATTAAATGTCTCGATTTTAAATATTTAAAAATTATATGTATGTGTGTATATATATATATATTTTGTTTAGATGCGTATGTATGTATAATTTTGTAGATTTATTAGCTAAAAATGTTGTTGCATACTTTTTTGGGTGAACGTTGCTGAAAGTCTTGCATTGAGTTATGAAATATTTTTTTTTTTTTTTTGTTATTATAATTTTCTCATCTTGTTGCATGCATAGATTTTGCCTAGCTTGCCTAGGTGCTTAAATAGTAAAGTAATCATTTGTAGTTTAGTGTAATACTCGCAGCTTGTGACAGTTTTCATTACATTTCTTTTCGATTTTGTTTTTCCTTTTTCTTTTCTTTTTGGTATGAAAGTAGTTTGCTTTAAGACATTTGTTCTATAGGTAAAAGATTATAACTGTTTAATTTTGTTAATATGTATACTTTTTGTTTTTATTTTTTGCTTTTTATGTTTTTATAGATATTTGAATTGTTTTTGTTGCACTTGCTACCTGTTGTTGCTGTCTGCTATCTGTTGCTCGTGTTGCTGTTCAATATCTAATTCGTTATTTTAATTAGTTCAATGGAAGGCAAAACATGTGCTGCAGTAGACTTTTATTATTATTTGCTTGCATTTGATTATTATGATTGTTATTGTTACCATTATGATGATGTTGCTGCTGCTGTTGCTGCTGTAATTGTTGCAATTGCTGCTGTTGTTGCTGCTGCTGGTATGGATGATATTGCTGCGCCTGCGGCAGCTGCTGCTGTTGCTGCTGGCGATAATGTTGCTGCTGGCTTATATTATTATTGGTATTGGCTGTGCCTCCCGCGCTATTCAAATGCAGGAGACTCAAATCGTCAGCCACAGAATCATAATCACTGGAATCCTCGCCATAAAGCTGCAATAATACAGATCATTAGTATATATATATATATATATATATATATTAAGAGTTGCAAAATACAATATTTATATATAAGAAACATAGTTCGTAAATAACTGTTGACTGCCTATCGATGCCTGCTCCTCAGAGTCTTTTATTGACACTCTGCAAAAAAGTCTGAGAGCTACCAATTGCTTCGATTCTTCAACGATCAGACATACAAATTTTTTGCGCTCTGGTTTTTCCTCGTTTTCATTGAGCGAACGCCCATTTAATGTTTGTGAAAAGAGCGCCAAACGAATAAGTAGCTCAGCTCATAGCGCTCATCAGAAAACGAAAAGAAACGAAGGCTCTAGCTCAGAGCGAGAGCCATTGAATACGATTATTCTTCGGTGGATTTCTCGAACAGAGCGTAAAGTATATAAGGGCCAAGTGTTACTTGAATCATATTTTTTTGTACAGAAGATAATTTTTAATTTTTTTTTTTTTTTTGTTAAAAATAAAAGTTAACAAAAGAACTTGATTTGTTTGCAATACCAGCAATTCATAAATATTTTTTATATTTTATATAAAAACTCATTATAACAATTCTAGTTTAATTTTATAAATTTATTTGTTTCAATTGTATGTAAATTTTATATTGTTTTATTTTATTATTTTATCGTTTATTTTATTTTTTATTTTAATATTTTATC